TCCGCTGCGAAATTACAATTAATAAGGGAGAAGATATGTTGAACGCTGAGGACGTTCATGAAGAATTATTTTGACACGTGGTTAAAATGATACGTATTACGATTTATTGGCTGGTGAAAAGAAGACAAAGAAGAAAAAGAAGTAAAATTATATATGTGTGTGCATATATATATATATATATATATATATATATATATATATATATATATATATATATATATATATATATATATATATATATATATATATATATATATATATATATATATACATATATATATGTACTGGAAATGAAAGTGTTTCACATACACATTAAAGTAACATATGTCTGTGCGTGTATACTCATAAACATATACAGAATACACTGTATAAAGGTTGGCTTCTGATCTGAACAACTCACCATTTTCTTGCACCGGTATTGGCCCCACGGCTGGTCCTCGCAGTAGTCGATGACGAAGGCGTAGAGCTCGGGGACAGACATCGGGAACTTCCAGTGGAGTCGGATCGCGTGGAAGTCGGCCTCCCCGCCCAGCCCGACCACGTCTGGGGACACGGGGGGGAGGGGGGGTCACTCAAATTAGTGTCGGATTAATCAAGCTGTTTTCCTAAAGGTTGCTGGGAACCTTGTCAATTATCAAGTTCGATGGATAGATTGTATGTTGTGAACATTTTGTGAAGATGAATAGAATGGTTTAGATATTATCACACATGCACATATAAGCATATATAAGCATATGTGTGTGTGTGTGTGTGTGTGTGTGTGTGTGTGTGTGTGTGTGTGTGTGTGTGTGTGTGTGTGTGTGTGTGTGTGTGTGTGTGTGTCTGTGTGTGTGTTTGTGTATGTGACTAACAGTCAAATAAATGGAATACATAGTGTGTGTGCATATATATACACACTAGGACTGTATTGTACACCAGACAAACACACCTTGGCGCTTGATCCGACGAGAGAAACACACAAACACAAGCTACGATCTATCGTTATTATTACACGTTACAGATAAAGGTGCAGGAAGACATAAGCGTAAAATGCTGTTACCTGGAAGGGCGAGCGTGGCAGGGAAAGCTACAGCGAGGAGAAACAGCGCCGCAGCAGCCATCGTCGTGGGGATCTGCAAGGGAAAACGGATACACAAATTAACGATCACGTTCTCAACAAGAGGTAAATAAAAGGACGAAGGGAAGGACAAGAATATACACAGGTATGCCCAAGGTTCTTTTTTTTCCGCCATATTGCTTCCTCGGGGCATGAAGAACCAATACACTGAATGGACACCTCGTCATATTCGTGTGTTTTTTTCGTCTTCTTTCCTTCGTTTTTTTTTAATTTATAATTATGGAAAGGGACGTAGATTCATATGCATTCCGACGTGTTTACGATTCGTGCACTAGTTAGCTCTGTGCATTCCAAAGATAATTATTTTTTCATTATGAAAATGGAAAATAACTGGGATGAATTATATTTCCTTCCAGAGTTAAATCCTAGACACCATTTATTTTTTTTCATTTATTGTTGTTGCTTTTAGTATGATTAGCATCATTATTATTATTATTGTTATTGCTATTTGTAGTAGTACATCATTATCATCATCATTTTTATTGTCATTATCATCATCATCCTCATCATTATTTTTATTATCATTATCATTATTATTATCATCATCATTATTATTATTATTATCATTATTATTATTATTATTATTATTATTATTATTATTATTATTATTATTATTATTATTATTATTATTATTATTATTATTATCATTATTATTATTATTATTATTATTATTATTATTATTATTATTATTATTACTATTACTATTATTATTATTACTATTATTATTATTACTATTATCATTATTATTATTATTATTATTATTATTATTATCATCATCATCATTCTTAACATTAGTATTATTATTATCAATATTATCATCATCAATATCATTATCAATATTATTATCGATATTATCAATAATTATCTTTATTATCTCTATTGTTATCCTTATAATTATCCTTATCATTATCATTATTATTATTACTATTACCATCATCGTTATCATTATAATCATGATCATTATCATTATCATTACCATTATCATTTTTATCATTATTATCATCATCATAATTATTATCACCATTATTATTACCAATACTGTCATTATCATTAACATTTTCATCACCATTATTAATACTGTTATTAAATGTAAACCCAAATATAGGGCGTGGCTAATCACATCTTATAAACCTAAAAACAGTAAAATAGAAAAGAGAAAAAACAAAAAATCAAAGAAAAAAAATGAGTAAATGAACAGCGTATCCGAATCTATGCATTTCTCTACACTTTATTTTTTTTTTCCGAACGTCGCTGGTCACAATCGTCAAAGGCCTTTTACCCAAAAAGTACCCCCCCGGGAGATTTCAATAGCCTTGTGTTCGCTTTTGAATACGCTTAAGGGCCGCCGTACTTGATATGCCATCGACGTCTTTGCTCATAAATGCTGCCCTTATAAATACCAAGAGGTTTCTAACGTCAAAATGGGGCCGTAAATTGCCCTCGCGGAGTGCTGTTTCCGCCACGTGCGCTCGGCTCTTCGGGGGGGTGGGGGAGGCAGGGGGGCGGGGGGGAGCTCATCGTATGCCTGTATTGATTGATTTTTTTTTTTTTTTTTTTTTTTTTTTTTTTTTTTTTTTTTACGTAACTGTATAACCTTTCATTACTGCTTCCGAGGAGGGTTGAGTGTGTGTGCCATATAAACTTTCCTATAAACTCATAATTAGTTTTATTAACGGTAGATTATCTGGGTAAAATAAATACAATAAACTTTCCAATAACTTTTTGGTCGCTGCTTCTAAGGTCGGTATACTGTAAGGGTCACATTTTTCCCAATGAATTTTCCTACAAACTTTCCCCATTGCTTCCAATGATGTTAGATAGTTTGGGGCACTCGATAAACTTACATATAAACTTTCATCATTGCTTCCAAGGATGGTAATGTCTCTAGGCCACATCAATGCCTTCAATGACGGTATTGTCAGGGCTACATTTTCCCCAATAAACTTTCCGATAAACTTTCATCATTGTTTCAAAGACCGGCAGAATGTCTACCGACAAATAAAATAAAAAATCTATAAAGTTTCATCATTATCTCTACGGACGGTAGCCTGCCTGGTTCACTTTTTCAATGAACCTTCCCATTCTCCGTTGTCTGGATTTTGAAGAAATCAATCTACTTCCCTATGAGTATAATCTTTCATCGTTGTTTCTAAGGACGGTACATTGTCAGGCCCACAATCTTTTTTTTTTTCTTCTTCTTCATAATAAACTTTCTTATAGAGTTTCATCATTGCATCTAAGGACGGTAAATTGCCTGGGCCACGTATGATGATGCATGCAACAACCGCAAAGAGTGTAGCAAGAGGCGTGAGTTAATTCCGTGTAGTTTTAAAAAAGACGAGGAAGTGTGAGGAAGAGCCGGATAACGTGGCAACCAAACATCAGGTTGTAAGTTCAGTGGGTCAACCGTAAAACCTCCCCCACCCCCCACTCCCACCCCATCCTCCTTTCCTCCCACCCTCCTCCCTTCCTCCCTCCGAGACGCACATACACACGCACGCACACTTATAACACAGCAACCACACGCAAACACTTACACCCGTTAGGCAAGCATGTAAACAAACATGCGTCGGATATTCAGTGTTCGGAAACGCTCACGAGGCCGTCGGTAAAGCAGAGTTTTTGGAACACGTGTGGCCTCCTCACGGGGAAGATCAGCCATGAGCATGACTTTCGAAAATATGAGGTAAATAGCGGGAACATCGAGGGAAGGGGGGGGAAGGGGGGAGAGGGGAGGGGAAAAGGTGGAGGGTGAAATGACGAGCATCTGGAGACAAAGAAGAAGAAGAAGAAGAAGAGAGAAGGAGGCAAATGGCTGGAGACAAAGAAGAAGAGAGGAGGAGAAGCAGGCAAAGAAAAACAAAGAGAGAAAGAGGCGAATGACTGGAGACAAAGAAAACAAGAGAAAGAGAGGAGCGAATGGAGACAAAGAAGACAAGAGAAAGAGGCGAATAAAAGGAGACAAAGGAGAGGAAGAGAAAAGACGAATGCAGGAGACAAATGAGAGATAGAGAAAAGGAGGGAGTCTAAATAATTGCGCATTTCATTATGGCAATGCTGTATAAGGGGTAATCTTGCACGCTCCCGATGAAGAAGACACAGAAAAGCATTAAGTGTATAACGAAAACCAATAACTATAAAAGTGAGTGTTATTAAAGAAAAATAAATAAATAAACGAAATATATGACTGTTACATACGTACGAATTAACCAAAAACAAAGAAAAAAAACGAGAAAAAAATAGAAATAGAGGAAGATAAAGACTTTTCGACCGATATAGAAATCGTAAAATGGAAAAATGAAACGAAATGTAGGGAAAAAAAAACCTGTCTTGAGCTCACTGCAAGAACACCAAACCGAGGCCACCGACGGATCCCTTGCAGAGTGATTTATCCTTGCGAAGGTTGCCAGAACCATGCATGCAACGTGACCGGGAGTGACGCTGCGGAACCACTCTGCGTTGCGTAAAGCTCTCGGGATCATCACTGCCTTTGGCTTCAGTGCTTGTTATTCATAATATATATATGTGTGTGTGTGTGTGTGTGTGTGTGTGTGTGTGTGTGTGTGTGTGTGTGTGTGTGTGTGTGTGTGTGTGTGTGTGTGTGTGCATATATATGTATGTATGTATGTATGTATGTATATATGTATATATATATATATATATATATATATATATATATATATATATATATATATATAGACAGACAGACAGAGAAAGAGTATATGTATATACATACACAGTTATCACACACACATTAATACGCGCGCACACACGTACACACACACACACACACACACACACACACACACACACACACACACACACACACACACACACACACACACACACACACACACACTCACACACATATATGCATATATATTCATAAATACACGTATGTATATACATATATATACATATATATAAATATATATATACATATACACACTCATATATATTAATGTATAAGTATGTGTGTATATATACATATATATATATATATATATATATATATATATATATATATATATATATATATATATATATATAAACTTTCATAGATGATACGTTATCACTGCACTATGACTTTCCTGTTCTGCTTTATCCCAGTGCATTAATCAAAACAGAAATCGTTACACTTTCAAAACTGCGCTCTTCACCAAAAGAAATGGAGAGGGATACAACTCACATTTTTTACGGTTTTGCGTCCATGCGATATATGGCTCCTAGCGTTCAAGTTCTCCCCTCTACCGTGTTCAGCACGGAAGCGTGGGCGTTTCAGGAGACCTGGTACAGTGACCTATGCAAGACTCCCTGGAAAATGTTTTTGGACGTTCTGCAGTTGGTGGCGTTTTGTATTTTTATGGAGAATTCTGAAGGTGTAGAATTGTTATAGCGGTTTTTTTTCTCTCTTTTTACCTAATGATTAATACTTGTAGCGTTTGTTTTTTCCTCTCTTTTTTGAGAAGGGAGGATGATGAGAAACAAATCAGACACAAAAGTGTAAGCTTACACAACTAGGTCTTACGTTCCAGCTGATTTACCATTAAAGACAGAACACCTGGAGAGGTAACGCGTCTGTCAGCGTCAGGTGGCCAGGCCTTTTGTCATACTGCTCCGATATGTTTCAGAAAATCACTGAAACCATTTGAGTGAACATTGTGGCCGCAATCATGAAGAGATTGTCGAGTGAAAGTGAATTAGTCAAGCCCTCTACATCTGGATAGGGCGCGGCAGACTGAATTACATCATGCATTATGTAGAGGTCTATTTCCTACCTCCCTCTGCTTCTCCCTCCTTCCTGATCCTCTGCCGCTCCCTCTGTGTATATCCATTCATTTCCGTGTATATATCTTTATATATAAATACATATACACATGCATACATATATATATGTGTGTATATATATATATATATATATATATATATATATATATATATATATATACATATATATATATACATATATATGTATATATATACATTTATATACATACATATATACATACATGTATATATATACATATATATATACATATATATATATATATATACATATATATATATATATATATATATATATATATATATATATATATATACATATATACATATACATATATACATATATATATATATATACATTTATATACATACATATATATATACATGTATATATATACATATATATATACATATATATATATACATATATATATATATATATATATATATATATATATATATATATACATATATACATATACATATATATATATATATATATATATATATATATATATATATATATATATATACATATATACATATATACATATATACATATATATATATATATATATATATATATATATATATATATATATATATATATATATATATATATATACATATATGTGTGAAAATATAAACACCATATAGAGACATACATCTTTCCCCACACACAACAAAAACTTTAAGATTGCATCCATAGCTCCAAAGAAAATCCTTTCCCCGCTGTAAACAAGAGGCGCAGGCAATCCCCGCCCCAGGGATCGCGCAGTGCCACCACCACTGTCTGCCACCACCTGCCACCGCCCGAGAGAGAAAGAGAAAGAGAGAGAGAGAGAGAGAGAGAGAGAGAGAGAGAGAGAGAGAGAGAGAGAGAGAGAGAGAGAGAGAGAGAGAGAGAGAGAGAGAGAGAGAGAGAGAGAGAGAGAGAGAGAGAGAGAGGGAAAGAGAGAGAGAGGGAAAGAGAGAGAGAGGGAAAGAGAGAGAGAGGGAGGGAAAGAGAGAGAGAGGGAGGGAGAGAGAGAGAGAGAGAGAGAGAGAGAGAGAGAGAGAGAGAGAGAGAGAGAGAGAGAGAGAGAGAGAGAGAGAGAGGGGGGGGGGGAGAGAGAGAGAGAGAGAGGGAGGGAGAGGGAGAGAGAGAGAGAGAGAGAGAGAGAGAGAGAGAGAGAGAGAGAGAGAGAGAGAGAGAGAGAGAGAGAGAGAGAGAGAGAGAGAGAGCGAATCGGGAAGATATTAACGGCACAATCCACCGCCGCCGATTGCTAGTTCCGTTGCACCTGCACTTCCTCCCGCTACCTTCCCGTCGCCTGTTTCCGCTCGACTTTATTCATCAAACTTGGATTTCATCTCTCCATATTTGATGAGTTCTTCCATTGCCAGCGAGCGAGGGGAGCTCTGCATAAAAGCGGGAAACTTTGAAAAATGGCAGCCACGGCATTTGATTGGAACGTATGGATAGCAACCACGATACTTGTGTTGTCTTGCAGCAGAGAACTAGAAGTTTCTATTAGGCCTCTGCGTTTCAGCACAACTTCAGCTTCTGAGCAGAATCTCGAGGACGATTTCTGAACGATTACTTGAACGACCACCAT